TGACTGGACTTTTTTGGGCTCACATCTACACCAAGCTCCTCCCTCCGACACGTAATGCCCTCTGCCTTTCCCCTCTCCTTGTTTGCCTTTTAGCTCCTCCTCATCTCCGCCATCAACTCTACTGTCTCTACCTTAGAGAAGACTTCCTGAACCTCATCTCATTGAGTCTTATCCCCCACCGTAGATTTGGATCAGTGTGTAGCTTTCCAAATGCCTGTTGTCACCACGATTTTACATTTGTTTGTGTGATTATTCATTCAATGGCTAGTGCCTTAAATAGACTGTGAGCTCTAAGGGGGCTGGGACTATGTCTATTTTGACTCACCATTAATCCCCAGTTGCCTATATGCAAAATGTTTAGTAAATAATACATATTCAAATAAAAAACACCTTTTGGAATGAATACTGAACTAATAAGTTTTAAAAACCTAAGGGCTAATAAAATATTTACATTCTAATATACATTTTGATTTAAAAAAGAAAACAAAAACCTATAAGCTGCCAAGCAGAAAGACAAAGCTCATTTAAGAGATACAAAAATCAGAAAGGCTTTCCTCTGTATCTAATGACAGCAAAAAATAGAGCAATATCTACTAAATTTAGGGAGTACAACATCATTGAGTACAACAGAAGAAACAGAAATAAGTGAATAAGAGAGGTAAGAAAGAAATGCATTTTTAAAACTTAACATGTAACAAAATTTGAGATCAGTTTTTCGGTCCATTAAAAGGAGGATGTGTCCATGTAAGTTTATCCATTGCAGCAAATGTAGCACCCCAGTGGGGTGTGTTGATAATGGAGGAGGCTATTCATATATGAGAGTAAAGGGTACATGGGAAATTTCTGTACCTTTCTCTCAATTTTGCTGGAAACCTATAACTGCTACAAAAAAAAAATCTTTTAAAAAAAGTAGGAATAAAATTAGATAGGAGAGGAAAAGCTATTAGGAAGAATTCTTCAATGATTTATATGACCGAATGAATATTGAGAAGTAAGGGAAAGTTCCCACATCACCCAGTAACTACTAACTACATACAGCAGAAATCATGGTTTTTAGACCCTGTAACTTCCTGTAAGGAAACTGCATTGTGCAAGACTTGAATATCTTACAATCATCACACCAGAAAACCAAGTGTACCATCTACACGGATAAAATAACTGTTATCCTAAAGAATCAACTTAGAAAAAAACAATTATCATTTCACTATGAATTAGTGACTCCTCCATTTTTAAAAAAGTATTCTATATGCTAGAAAAAGAAATAATGTATGCATTTTCTTTTTCAACTCGTAGAGATAATTTTTTTCTCACAGTTATTTAAACATATTTTGTCTTTTCCTTTGGATGTTTAATTTTGTAGTTATTAATCAGAATATTAAACATTCAACACTTAGAAGTCCAGAATTTACATTGGAATCTTTATTTGTATCAAAATTTACAATTTGTTTAATTTAATCACACTCTGCTTCCTCAAAATATATATTTAATTATATTTAAAATAATGTGACTGGTTAAGGAAAATTGAAACAAATAACAGGAAATCAGATATATCACTGGGAAGGAAAGATACATATTTTTTCATCCAACAATTTCTTAGCCAATTTTGTAGCTTGGAAATAACTTGTTCAGTTAAAATTATGCTCAAGCAAGATAAGCTTATTCTTAAAATTGAAATAATGGGACCAACATCATATAAAAGACAGTGTTAGAGGATTCCAACTTTTGGGGAGAGATTTTTGGTATAGGGTGCATGTGCTCACTGGAGATACAGAGAGACAGAGAGAGATGGAGAGAGGGAAGACAAGAAATCACTCCCTGGGGGAAATGGTCATGCCATAATCTCTTTTCTTCCATTCTCCTTCTGGGACTTGGGGCACACATGCACACTCACTCAGTGTGAGTTTTAAGCTGCCGGGCTTGGGACTCAAACTGAAATTGGCCATGTGGAAGTCCAAAACCTTAACTGCTATGCCACCAGAGGATTCCAACTTTTAAAAAAAAAATTTTTTTTCAGTGACCATGTAGTGGCACACCTATAACACAACTGGACCTATGTGTGACAGTCCTGTGTTCACATCCTAGGACCTCTCTGGATCATGTTTGCCCATTATCTGGAATGGCTAAGACTAAGTAGATCATGGTGTGAAGACTAATGCAGGTGTCCCCTTCTCTCTTTCATTGAATAAACAATTATTTAAGAGAAAAAAATCTGAAGCTTAGTTACTTGGTTGTATGCTTGTTCGGTTCAGTGAGGAGACAGGGCTAAAGGAAGAATTTCATTCTTCTTTTTAAAAAAATATATATAAATTTAGGATCTATGTAGGTATATCAGGCAGGATTCAGTTGTGAAGAACTGAATTACTCTAGTCTAAGCAAGAAATGTTTTATTATAGGTATTAAATCATTACAAAATTATTGGGAGAGTTGAATTAACAAATTTTTTAAGCATGGCTCAAACAATGACTGCAAGCTAAACTATTGGAGCGAGCCACAGAGAAAGAGGCTGATGGTCTCTAAAAGCAGGAAGCTGCCAATTCTAGAAGCATACTCCACTGCCATGATTCAGGAGCCACCATGACTCAGAGGGTGCTGCACTCAGGAAATCACTGTTACCTAGCAGCTCCACCATTGTTGCCAGCTCTGCAATCCTGCCGTGCCTGCTCTGATCTGCACTAGCAAAACGGCTGCCCTATGCCCTGCTTCTTGACTCCCAGAGCTAGCGGCTAGGCACTGAGACATTTATTAATACTGCCACAAGGAAGAAAGAAAAATTAAAGACTCCACCGCTGGGCTTGCCAGAAAAAAAGCTGAAGTGGCAGAGGTTGGGCCTTCATCTTACTTCTTTGAAGTCACATAAACCTGCATCTGACTGACTGAATCGAAAAAACATCCAAATTCTAACTGCAAGAGAGTCTTGGAAATAAGAATTTTAGCTTTCAGTCGTTCTCAGTCTAGAAAGGCACACTAGAATGAGAATAACATGGCTGAGCACTTAGCAACCTAAACCTTTGGTTACTCAACATCCATACACATCCTTCTCTCCATTCAACAACTCTCCCCAAAACAACAATTAGTAACAGCACTGTTCTCTACTAACACAGTGCAAATCTCTCTTTTACAAAGGAAAATGTAAGGCCACTTGGTGGCATGCAGATTTAAGTGGCTAGATGCATGTGGCCCACTTGTGGTTCAAGTCTCTGACTAAGCAGCTTAAAAAATGGCCTGGGTGCATGTGTGTGTGCCCAAAATTCCGAGAGAATGATGGAGGAGAAGGGGTGTGGCATGGCCATCCCCCTGCGGAAATGATTTCTCACCTTCCCTCTCCCTTTTTTTTTCCTCTCTTTGGTGAGTGCATGTCCCCTATAGGGAAAAAAATGGGAGGGGGGCGGAATCATTCTCTCTTCAAAAAGGGGAAAAAATCCCATCAGTCAGTCTGTCAGTCAGTCTGTCTACCTTAGGGTGAAAGTTCACTCCTCCTATAATAAATGACATTAGAAAGTTACCTACGATAAACACACTCTATACAAAATATAGGAAAATTACATGTAGAGAACTAGCATTGTTAGTTCTTTAGTGTTGTATCACATGTATAAATATATACAAAATAATATGAAGAATGTGACCAGCAGTTGGAGTAATGGCTATGTCACTGGACTCCCATGTAGATGACTGAGGTTTGAATGCTGGACTCAGTGGATTAAACTCACACGGGGTGCCTGTGTGTGCGTGCCCAGGATCCCAAGAAGAAAGCAGAGTAGAAGGTACTGCGACATGGACATCCCCCCTGGGGAGTGATTTCTCACTTTCTGTCTCTCTGTCTCTTTCTGGAGAGTGCACATGCCCTATAACAAAAACTCCCCCCCCCAAAAAAAAAGAATATAGCTAATGACAGCAGTATTTGCTGCATAAATTTGCAGTTGTGATTTATGACTTCCTTCTTCTTCCCATTTCTTGTATCCTTTGTCTTCAGCTAGCACCTAGGCTGGCTGATGCCCTTCATATGTCATAGTAGCCAAATGTGAATGGAGATCAGAGCCTGTAATGATTTTCTGTGGTTGTAGCTACAAGTAGCAACCTAGGCATGCTCCAGAATATCTCCAAATTTCAACCCACTCCTCACTACCAACATTGTGCAGCAGCAACCTTAGCTGAAAGAGATTGTGGAAAACATTGTGCTTGGGTCACTAGATTCCACAGTAGACAAGGCACTTGGGGGGGGGGGATAAATTAGTGTTGTGATCCACTATTTTCACCACAGTAACCAAGTGTGAGAAAACACTACTCATTCTATATACTGTTGCCCGATTAAGTTCTACTGTCTGAACAGAGTAAAGCCTTAGCAATATACAGTCTCATGAACAATGTTTTGTTATGTTTTGTTGTGTTTTAATCCAGTCACCAATGATCTCAGTGTACACCCTGTGTTTTGATAAAAAGATGTTCCTTTCTGCCTCCTTCCCATAATCCTAACAATGCTAGTTCTCTACATGTAAACCACTGCAAGGTATCATGAGAAGTACTCTGTCAGCCTCTTCTCCATTAAATGGATACAGCTCATGTGATTCACTTTTATGTGAAGCCCAAGAGGAAATATCATTCATGCCTCTCTCAAATAATTCATTCAGAGTTCCATGGTTTCAAGTTGTAAATGGTTTTGATGACTTAGGAGAGAAAAACACATCTTCAATTTATTTGCATCATTTTTCTTTAGCATCAGCGTGCATTTTTAACTATTTCAAGCTACCAGGCTACAAGGTAGCACCTTTGGTGACTCACTGAGTACCACTTGTGGTGCTGCAATTCACACATGTGCATATTACGCATTCACTGGGGCTGTAATTCTGACTTCATTAGTAGGACCTGTTAATTGGGTGACCCAGGCATGAATGATTCTTTTCTAGAGATGGATCCAGAAACATCCAGAAAAAGAGAGAGTTTAAGCAGTCACAAGCACAGAGAAAACTTAACAATTAATCTGTCATGTGATAATTTGTTGACAGATTGGTTACTGGAAAGACATGGAACAAGAAGATGCAGCAGAAACAGTCAAAACTCGGGGGAATGAGTCATCTGTCATCCTGACAGGATTAGAAGGAAATACGTTATATCATTTCACAGTGAGGGCTTACAATGGTGCTGGATATGGGCCACCTAGCAGTGAAGTGAGTGCAACCACCAAGAAATCCCGTAAGTGACCCAGGACTTTTGTTTGTTTCAGACAAAGGGGAACATCTCTTAACGTTTCTGAAAGCCATGTGAGGTACATAATAAGCAGAGTCAAGGGGGGTTTTGATTCATAGTCTTACTTCAGTGCTTAGATCTGAATTCCAAAACTAGCTCAGAAATTTTTGCATTCACAGCAGTTAAAGGTTATCTTCCTGTGAAACAAGGCTAAGTGATTTTGACACAGAAGGGAGATAAAAGGATTCAAGTTCAAATGCTCAGTAGAGTACCTATTAAAATGACACTCCTGGAGCAAAGCCCTCCTTATCTGACTCCAGTTGGAAGGAAGCCTATGGTGCCAGCCAACTACTGAACATGAGAAAGATTGAAAGACTCACAAGGATTTAAATGAATAAATGTACTTAAGAATCCTTGTTAGCTCACTTTCACTTTTTCCTTTGCAGCCCCTAGCCAAGCACCTAGCAACCTCAGATGGGAGCAGCAAGGCTCTCAGGTTTCCCTAGGTTGGGAACCCGTCAGACCACTGGCCAATGAATCTGAAGTCATGGGTTACAAGGTAGGTGTTTCTTCTCTCTCTTGCAAAGACATTTATCTCCAAAATTGTTACTATGATGATAAGTATAATAAGGCACAAAAAGACCCATTAACAAACCTTCTGTGTTTTTTTTTTCATTATTTTCCACTTGTATTTTTAAAAGGGTGCCTTGCTATAGGCAGGAACCCCTGGCAGTCAAAAATCAGCTTTGACTACATAAACCATGGAAGAGAAGGGAGAGGAAAAGGAGCGACTATCTGAATATCGAATTAGGATCGCTCCATAAAGCATGGTGTCAGGACTGGCAGAACTCAGCCAAGAATCCTGGCGTTCTCCATGAGCAGACAAGACTTGCTGGCAGATGGCAAAGACAGGATGACACAGTTCGAATAGAAAGGCTCTTTATTAACAAAGAATCATGAAAAGAAAAATTAAAAATGCCACCAGGACTAACGCAGTAGCTAGGAAAGAGTCCACAGAGAAAGCAAGCTCCAAAATGGACCCAACCTCTCATAATATGGTCACACGGCAGATCTGGAAATATGAAAATGTGTACATGGCTTTTTAAAAAAAATCCTTTGCCTCTGATTTTAAAATATATGTGATCTATGTATCAAATTGGCTTAATTTCAAAATATTTTTGTGTAAGGTTGGATTCTATTTCTGGCCTTCAACTCCACACAAACATGAATTGAATATTATTTGTAGTAGACTTTAAATATTACCATGATGGAAAAGCATGGGTTTGCAGCTATTGAAGCAAGTAATGCGGTATTTTGTATATAAAGTATTAACATTCTGAAGCTAAAAGCTGAAGAAGCTATAAATAGAAGATATTTTAAAGGTAAGTAATTCTCATTAACATGTTAAGACATAAACTGTAGTATTGCTTAGATACTGTATTTAGTATGATCATAGACACCCTCAGAATCAAGCACACATATAGTCAGATTTGTGCCTACTCCCCAGGGGTACTGAAGATGATCTTTGGAAGAAGGGCCAATGTCATTTTCTGTGCCCTTCTTCTAACCCTGTCCTCTTAATACCCTTTCCCAAAAGACCATGTCCTCCCAACTTATCCTCTAAGGCAGATGTACCTGTCAATAATTTGAGGTAGCCAGAGATGCTCACAGACCATGCAAGAATCAATCTAATATTATTAGAAATATATGAAGTAGATTTCTATGCTGGAGAGGCAAAGTGCAACACAAGGAAGAACCAAAAAAAAATGTATGGTCAGTGGAAAGACGCATATGGTTTTAGGCACCTCTTAAGAACAGAAAATACTATAAAATTGGAAGAATACTTGAGGCTGGACATAGCGTTCCAAGTCTAGGCACCCCTACTCTTTTTTTTTCTTTTTTTTTTTTGGAGAGGTTTTTGCCATAGGGCGTGTGTGCTCGCCAGACAGACAGAGAGACAGAAAGCAAGAAATCACCCCCAAGGGGGATGACCATGCTGCAATCCCTGCTCCTCCATTCTCCTCTCGGGATCTTGTGCACGCACACAGACACACCCAGCGTGAGTTTTGAGCCATCAGGTCTGCGACGCAAACCACGGTCGACTACATAGGAGTCCAGCGACACAGCCATTATGCTAACTGCTGATCCCCCTAGGCACCCCTACTCTTCACTCACAGATGACTCCTTTAACCCTGTCATTGTTCTTAGTTATTATAGGAATGGTCTTCAGAAAGTTCATGAAATATGCATATTATGAAAAATCTATACCTGGATTTCAAATGTTTGGACACCAAAATAAACTCATATTTCATTTCATGTTCCCACAAGCTTTTTTTTTTTTTTTAATTGTTATTTATCTGAGACTCACATTTAACTGGTCAGCCTCTTTTTTTTTTTTTTTTTTTGAGAGGTTTTTGTCATAGGGCGTGTGTGCTCGCCAGACAGACAGAGAGACAGAGAGACAGAAAGCGAGAAAATACCCTCCAGGGGGTATGGCCACGCTGCAATCCCTTCTCCTCCATGCCCCTCTCGGGATCTTGGGCACGCACGCACATGCGCCCGGCGTGAGTTTTAAGCCACTGGGTCCGGGACTCAAACTGCGGTTGACTACATGGGAATCCAGTGACATAGCCATTACACTAACTGCTGGTCTCCCCACAAGCTTTTTGAAGTGCCCTTTCATGTGACTGTCGCCACAACCAGTCTGAGCTCCTGGAAGTCAAGGACTGTAACTTAATTATCTCTTTTTCCCCTGGTGCTTCTGGAATGGATTAATAAATTAATTTTGATTCAGCTAAAAATCTATTATGCAATTATTCATACATATGTATTATCAGATACATTTTTTTTTCAGCATGACCTTGCTATTTGTATGGAATAGTTTTTTAAAAAAAAGGAAAAAAAAGGTCAGTGACTTTCATGTCAGGTATATTCTAGTCTCATCCTAATTGTATCATTTTCAATAACAGGCTTAGTCTCTCTGGGATTCATCCTCTTGACTTCAAAATAGCAAAATAATAATAATAATACCACCAATCATACAGGATGACTTCAGAGGTTAAATCAAGTAATTTGTGTAAAATACATGGAATACAGAAGGTGTTCATTTTAAAATAGATACTATTTTTCTTATTACCTGGTTAGATGGAATTTTTGAGTATCTTAACAACACAAAAACTGATCTTTAAAAGTTGCGGAGTAATTCCTTACGAAGACAGCACAAATATTCTTGGTTGGGGAGGAATCATTATCACTGCCCATCTCAGTTGTATAAATTAATGCTTTCATTGCCAGAGGATTTTTTTCCCTTTTATTTCATTGAAATGGTTGTGCTTCCTTATATCCCTGAGAAAGAAGAGTTGGTTTCTAAAGGAGGAGTCTGCCAATAACAAATGGAGAGAGACCTAGAAGCTTGCTCTTTTCAAACTAAGCTCTGTTAAAGCCTCTGATGCATCACAATCCCCAGTGAAAGACCAGCTGGGGGGTGGGGCATGACAAGAAGGGGACTTTGGGCTGATAAATTGGCTTAACAAAGAACCTGGATACTTCTGTTGTGTTTTAAGAATTTACTATTATTGTTATTATTATTACTACTATTATTTTAATTTGCTATAGAGCACTTGTTCTAACCAGAGAGAGAGAAACTGAAAAAGCAAGCTACCAGGTCTGAGACTCAAACTGTGGTCGGTCATGTGGGAATCCAACACCTTAACCACCATACCTGCTGACTACCTGAATTCCTCTGAGGAGGCTGGTTTGTATAAGGCAGGTGCTAAGGATGAAATCTCCTCCTGACACAGACACATTGGGACAGGAATACAATTAGAAACATTAGCTGTGAATATAAATGAAAGCTTGTGAGAACACAGGCTTGGAGCCCCCTCTCTGAGCATGACCTTGAGAATTACTGTAGCCTAGACAAGGATCTCCTCGCTGCAGGTAACAAGCTACACATCTGCAGGAAGATGTACACAAACACAGGATGGTCAGGGCCAGGCATGATGCTGAGAAAGAAAAGGCCTCCCGTTTGATGTTTTTTGACTTATAATTCATGCTCCCAAAATATCTTTCTTTTGGTAGGGTTTTGCCATAGGGCACACACACTCACTGGAGAGAGACAGAGAGAGATGGAGAGAGGGAAAGTAAGAAATCACCCTTTGCAGAAGATGGGCATGCCACAATCTCTTTTCTATTCTCCTCCTGAGATTTTGGGCACACATACCATCTGTGCCAAGTGTGATTTTCAAACTACCAGATCTGGGACTTCAGAAGTGGATGGACATGTGGGAATCCAGTTTCTTAACCACTACATCACTTGCGGGTCCTTGTGTCAACCTCTTCTTAGGCACAATAGTGTGTAGAAGTCACAAAAGATTTTGTCCCTACAGATGTAGGGACAAGTCAGCACTAATTTAAGGCATGCTTGACCCATTAAGGCTGGATTTGCCCTTGTGATTCTTGGAAATTTGGAGGTAGAAGACTGATTCGTAATCAGCGCAAGGGAGTTTTTCCACAGTTAGTAGTGGTATGAAAAAAGAAGACTATCTTATTTAAGAGTCTTTGTCAAACACTTCACTTTCATAAGCAAAAGGAATGACTGGAAATGTAAGTGGTATATAGGTTTAAGGGTGGGAACTTAGATTTAATCTGTGATGTTTAAAATGCAGGGATGTATATTCTACCTTTTACATTAAGCCTAGTTTGAGATTGATGAATTCGGAAAAGTCTTCATCTAGATGTTTCCCAGATTGTGAAAATTACTGAAAAGTGATAAACATGGTGGAAAAATCTGATTTGGTCTATATACTTGAGCCATAAATAATCCACTACACTTATATTCAAGATACTATATACTGGATACAGCCCATTCTGCAAAAGTACACAGCTAAAATAGCTTAAGATAGTAAGATAAAGCAGACTATGATATTCAGTCAATCCATTTTCTAAGCACATGCCTTTTGTCTGTTTTTACTGCTATAACAAAACGTGATATTGGACAATTTGTAAAGAAGAACTATTTCCTCACAGTTCTAGAAACCAGGAAGGTCAAGGTCAAGGCACCAACAGGTTCCATATCTGGTTACAGTCCAATCTGTGTGTCCTCATATGGGAGAATATGGAAGATCAGAAGAGGCAAGCACTGTGTGAAGCCTCTTTTATAAGACCCTTAATCACGTTCAGAAGGGGAGGAAAACTCATGAGCTAATCGCTTCTTCTACTGCACTCAGAAAGCAAGAAATCACCTCCTGAAGGGGATGGCCATACCACAATCCCTTCTCCACTCTCCTCTCAGGATCTTGTGCACACACATACACACATCCGGAGTGCATTTTAAGCCACTAGGTTCAGGATTTGAAATCATGTTCAACTACATGGGAGTCCAGCAACATAACCAATATACCATCTCCTGGTCCTGAGCTGACCACTTCTAAAGGCTTCCCTTCTTAATGCTATCACATTGGCAACACCTGAAATTTGAGGAGAACTCATAGTCAAAGCCTAAAAGCCTAGATCTTACTGCCTTATTGATATCAGAGATTCAGGTATCAGTAACATACT